CCCAGCCCCCCCCAGCACCCCCTTGGCTGCTCCCCCACCCCAGTCCCCCTGGCTGCTCCCTGTCCCCTGCTTAGGACCCCTCCCCAGCTGCTCCACCACCCGGAGCCCCTTCAGGAGCACGTCCTCCCTGGGTTGCTGCAGCCAGGCCGAGCACCCGCTGTATCACTCAAAGGCCCCAAGTTGCCTGTAGGAGGAGACAAGGGAAGGGGCTGGGGGGTCCCACGCAGAAAGTGACCGAGACCTCGGGCTTGCGGGCTCCGAGCAGGCGCAGCAGCGGCCCAGAGCTGAGGGACCATAGGTGTCCCCTGCCCAGACTCGGCCTTCCTTGCCAGGAGATGCCCTGGCCCCAGTGGGAGTGGGTGGAGGTTTCCTCCAGGCATGGAAGTGGCCCAAGCGCTGGGAGCTCACCTCTGTGTCACCCACTGCTGGCTTTCCTTTGCCAGGAGCCACCCCCTATGGCAAAGGCTGGATGTGTGTACAGAGAAGTCTCACCTGGTCCCTTACTAAATGCAGCCCCCTCTGGCCTGCAACCTGGAGGCTTTTTGTCTTAGACCAGCAATGCTATCAAGCCAACTAGGACAGGGAGCGGAGACTTAGCCTCTCTTGGAGAAGCAGCAGGATAAATTTAGATGGGCAGAAAGTCATTATCCAAAATAGAATCTCTCCTCCAGGGAGCTGTGGTGGCCAGAGCTCGGCAGGAGCTCTGTTTTGCATCTGATGTTGAAAATGGCATCGTATCCGCCGGCATCACCGCAGCCTACTCGAGCCTGGGCCTTGATTCACTGTAGATTTGGAGGGAGGAAAACCAGCCATTAAGTCTCTAAACTGGCTTCCCGGTGAGTTGCAGGGCCTCCTTGGATGGCACTCATCCAAATCGTGGTCTGCTTTGTTTTGTGAAATCAGGTACAGTTACAGCCTGAGGGGATTCAGCTGCAGGCAATAATGGTGTATAAAGCAGTGGTTCGCAAGCTTTTTGGGTTGCGTACCCTTTTTTTTAAGCTCATTATACTGTTGTGCGTGCCTATACTTCTGTGTTATGGATGAT